GCTAAGGTCGTTTGTGCCGTACGTGTAATGTGTGTTTTTTGCTCAGGAGGTGGCGGTGATCTTGGCCCGGCTGAATGGTGAGATCCGGCGCCGACCTACCGTTGGCTAGCGAGGTTTTCCCCCAACCAGCGAGGCACCACCAGCCCGGCATGTGTAGTAGCGAAATGCATTTTAGTGTGTGTGTGTAAGGGTTAGGATAGGACAAGGAATGGGAAGAAAAGATCACACACGGACCCCTTTGGTATTGCTCTGGCATTCGCCTGGTAGTGATTGGAGAAACCATGGAAAAGTACCGATCAGAGCACGAATCATCTTAATTCTCCGCCAGACAGCGACAAACTCGCCTTAGCTGCTTGGTTAGTGTCGAAAATCCTGCCACCGTCGGACTCTGTCAGAGACACTGCAGTGACATCACTTGATGCCCTTAGCCACTCTCTCACCCTACTGCCTTTGCTCCTTCAAGAAACTGTTACTGCTGGGCGTACACGGCGACACCTGCACTTCCATCGCACTAACTCGCCTCCACCTGCCTGGTGCCTCCCCGTCTCCGCCCCCCCCCCCCCCCAACGCCTCCGTCGCCGCCGTCTCCGACCCCCCCCCCCCCGGCCCTCCAGCGCTCCGCCTGCGCCGCCCCGATTTATTTGCCGCTCGCTGTCGTCGCTCCTGCCCCTTTGTGGCGAGATTAATTAATTTCAGGCTCGCGCGTGCGGCGCGGCGCGGCGCGCGCGCGCGGGCGCTGGCGCCGGAGCGGAGTGGCGGGCGCCTCCGCACGCCGAGTGCCGCTGCCGCGCGCGTGCGTCCGTGCAATGCGTGCGTGTGGGAGGGCGTCGCCGGCGCTCGTTTGCGCGCGAGCGGGCGCGAGGGCGGGCAGAGCGCCGACGCCGCCACCGCAGTTAATTAAAAGTTCCCCCGACCTCGCGCTCTCAGCTGCCGCTGAGGTAGGGTTAGGGCCGGGCCTTCTGGTCTTGCCACGCTGGACGACAGATCCTCCGCGTTTGAAGATTTCGCTCGACTGTGGCCACGTGGTGCCCTTGTAAATTTCGCTGGCCTTTGCGGGAGGCGCCAGCTCCCGAGAGATGTTTATATAAACGATAAACTCAGGCATGTATCATTTTACAAACCGACTGCTGTCGCAAGTCTGTAGAACACTTTAAATATTTGTAACACCTAAATTAAACTAAAGTCCTAGGTAAAATTATATTTCAAAGGAATTGGTGACTCGAATAGTCCAAACATTCAATAAAATGAAAATTTTACAATACTTACATATATACAACTCTTACACTATGTGTACTATACATATTTATAGATATTTCGACTCGTGCGTGTGTTCTTCAGGATTCATTAATCTCTTTTTAAAGCATACAAGGTCACACCATATGAGAACCAAGTTTAAGCAATAATGCAATATCAAATAGATGAATTCCTAGTGGCACAAGCAGTGCAGACACTAGGTATCACATCCAGGAAATAAATCCGAAAGTTTTTTACTCACCAGTTCTATATGATTTTCGGGTGCTGAATTCGAATTTGGGGTTTGACATCTGGAAAGAAGACGACTTCCCAAAGGAAATTGAGAAAAAAACGCACTTTTTTCAGTTTTATGGAAGTTATTTTCACGTACAAAATTAAAATATATGAAATTCTTTGTACAATGCATATTTTAACTTTAATTTTACAATAATTTTTGTAGGCGCTAGAGCGTCGGTAAAAAGATGACATTTTACCCTTCTCTCTAAAACGTCTTACCCTTCTCCCACTCTATTATTTTGCGTTGGCGTTCTAGTTTTTCTATATCATTTTTAAAAACTACTCTGTTGAATGCATTGCTTACATTGTTAAATGATTAACACTCCGTTACCTGTGGAATCAGATGGAATGCGTTTACTTGCTCGGGATATGTGTATGCTCCAACATTGGATAACGAAACTACATCGGAAACGAGAAGATACAATAGGTTCTGTACAATTCAATATGTTCATGTTCAATTATTTTGCCAATAATTTGATCTGTCATGTGCCAAAATATGATGTAAAAGATACAATAAAACTAAAAGGTAAATTTAGTTACAAGTAAATATAGGAATAGGTAGGTTCTTAAATCTTTCCCAAAGAAAGTTTTAGGATAAAAAGAAACAGAACATTACTGCAGAATAATATGAATAGGTGAAAAATGGAACGGAGTAAGAGACATTCTACAAATTCTGATAAAAGAATGTTTATTTTAGGCTATATTTCAGCGGCAATGTAATTTCGTGGTTTTAATAAACAATTGAAATGCCGTAGTTTTAATGATAAAACAAAGCTCCAGAACTTTACGGTGATATTGAATTAAATAACCAGTTTTCTCTGAGTTTATAAAATGTCACTTATACCGTTCTGGTTTTCACCCATTTATATGACGGTAAGGACTTGTCGGACATTGCCAACTATTACCATTTTTTTTAAAAATAATGGATTTGTCATGGTTTTCTCCATAATTATTTATTTATGTTAGCCAATGCTAGCTGACGAGGACCAAATATTCATATCAAAAATTGACCATAAACTATGAAGGCTTGGACTACGTTGCCAGAATAATACGAATGGGTGAAAACTGGAACGGAGTAAGTGACATTCTATAAATTCTGAAAGAATGTTTATTTTAGGCTATATTTCCGCGGCAATGTAATTTCGTGGTTTTAATAAACAATTGAAACGCCGTAGTTTTAATGATAAAACACTGTTACGTATCTTCTCTACCAGTAGTTGTTACACTGTAATGTAGAAAGGTTTTTCGTGACATGAATGATAAAGATGTTACTGAGAGCAGATTCATCCGATTTCGTCGCACAAAAACGTGCAAGAGACATTATTCTGAAGTTCTCGTTAGTTACCACTACATCGCAAACTTCGGCCGCTTGGTGACAGCCTCGACAATGTTACAGTGTTACAGTTCTGAAGAAGTTGTTCACTACTACTGCCATTCCGAGAGAGAGAGAGGCATCTCAGTGAGTAGGGAAAATGCAGAGGTACCAAGTGCCCGTTGTAACAGGGAAGTAACAAGGTACACAGATGTTTATAGGGAAAATGTAAAGATACGAAGCTATTTTCGGAAAAACTTACATCCATGGTATTACACTACGTACGTGAAACACAATAAAATACTTTAATTCTTATACCTTTACTAGAGAATAAATAAACCAGTTTAAACGAACTCCTCCCAGTAGTAACTACACAAGAACATTGATCTTCTGATATCCAAATACCCCGCGCAAGTACTGGAGTTTTAATGAATAAAATATTTCTTTTTGTGGGAGTTTAAATGTTAAAATTTATTATCTTACAAATTATCTGGTGCTTTCTAATAGGGAACTAGTGGCAAAATTAAATACATTTTAAACAAAAGTTTATTTCTACGGGAAATTCTATAATAAAGATAATTAAAAAATTTCGGCACTGTGTTTCATTGTGCTCTCTAAGTGTGAGGGGGAGGCTGGCTTTCCGATCCCTTAACCTCCAGAACGCGGGTACGACCACGGATGAGGTGCGCGGAGTTTTGAAGGGCAAAAAATCAGTCAGATTCCATATCCTCCGATTCCATGTTGTACTGTATGTAAAAGAACCTTGGCTAAATGTACTACAAAATTATAACCTCTAGCAATTCCCTTTCTATTCGAATCTCATATGCACTTAGCCGGGAATATCTCTAGTAATGGCTGAATATTTTATCGCCGGGGAGTAAAATATTTACCTACAAAGCTGGAAGTGCCTTACCGCCATATTGTACAGATGTGATGCTCTATTTCCTTTCATCCTAAAAGTAGTTTTAAGAAATGTTTTGAAATGTTTATTCATGAATTTGCCTGATATTTTTTCCTACCTGATTTTTTCTTTAGTTTTATTGTATTTTTACATCAATAGAGTACCGAAAGTGAACTATTCTGATGTCATCGGTTAATACGCAGATATCTACCTTTTGATGTGGGTGACTTCCACCCGACTTTCCCCTATTTATACCCGAGATAACGGGTGTCCATCACTGCCCCAAATATCTCCCTCACTCTATTCCCTCCCTCGATTACCTCTGTGACCCGCACCCACCTTCTGATCCTTGCCTATACGGGTGATGATATCGATACCTCAAGAATAGTCTGCCTCAATGAAAGCACGTTGGCTCATCAAGAGCAAACTTTTATTTGAACGCTGAGGTAGCCCATAGGAGCATCTCTGCCATTATATACCACACTTAAGGACGGATATTGAATGTTGGTTTGGTTTATTCAACTGTATTATTGACGTAATATAATAAATTTTACTTAAAAGATCTCACAGTTGTCATTTTTTAATAGACGACGAATAATTCTCTTCTGAAAAAAACACTGATTCAATTGTTTACTGTATATTAACTGAGTAGCCTTACTTAATTGAGAATGCTCTACTTTAAGACTTACGCCATGGATTGTGATGTGAAATTAATGCTTATAATACTGTAACACATGTACTACAACTTGAGTGTTCAATTTTGATTTTTCATATTCTTCCATTTAATGTCATTAAAATTTACGGGCCGCCGACGTAACAGTTAATCTGTATTTCTTACGGCTTCCTAAGACAGTAAAAATGTGTATATATTTTTACTTCTGTTATTTACTGTATATTTTGAAATATTTTTAGTTAATTTTTTTCCGGAGAGGAAGAGAGAATTTTGGCAGTTGCGGTACAGGGCCAAAAGCTATAGGGTGCTGAAATTAATCGTTTATTTAAGAAACCAGTCAAATGACAAGTTTGTGAATTTCGAGAAATCGAAAATTAAATGTCTTGGTACAAATTTAATATTTTGGTAGAGAATTTAATTTCATTGCTAAAATTAATATATACCTCAATACCTTTTATTGAAGAAAACAATTACGTGTACCCTATTAAAAAATATTCCACCATTATTTCATGTTTGGCGCTTGACTGGCTTCTGAAACGAACGATTTAAGAATAGGTATAATTCGTGTTCTCTACTAATTTTAGTTCGTTGGGAAGTACATTACCCGACGATGGAGTACTGGATAAGTGAAGAGTATGGCGCGTATGGACACCGGCAGGCTTCGGTGCGCCGAAGGCGGGCCTCGGAGGCTGCCGATGAGCTCAAGTTGTGGTCGGCGAGAGACGGCGAACAACTAAAAGTTTCCTGGTTGCAGAGTTCCATGGTCGAGATTCTTGCAGGTAAGATCCGGTGACGACACGAAATACAGATATTTTATTTATTTTATGGTGTCGTTCATTGTATATTCATTGTGTCGTATATGTGTTTGATTTCTTTTCAATCGGTATTTCGTGTGTTTGATGTACTTCTTTCATACGTAATAGATAATACTCAACATTCAGGGATAGTTTTTGTAGCACTCCGCTACTCGTTTCTTCTCCTTATTTATTGTGTTAATGTATATTAAACTTCCTTCCCCGTAGCTAGTTAACTGCATGGAGAATCCTTGGAGAATTCAAAAATATATAAGGACCTGTAAATCCTCTTATAAGATCACCGTCTTTAGGTCGCGACGTTGGATTTTGTATTGACATAATTGAGAAAAACGCATATCAGAAAACAAAATGAACCAGGACGGTGTCACATTTAACAACGCAAAACATTTGCTTAACGCTTTAATTACATTACCTGAACTTTGTGTCCTCATTTCCTCTGCTCATGAATCATTTCTTTAAAATTCACACAAGTAAAACAAAACTCTTCAAATTCGAAGCATACAAATGTACCATTGTAAAAGTATGATTTCATAAAATATAACCGCGCGTGCACGCGTTCATATAATAAGGTATTTAATTATTCTCACGAACACCAAATGCCTCAAACGTAACAAAACTGGATCTATCACAATTATTCTAAATGTTTATTTAAATTACTTTCGCCGCTATTCTGAAGAATGGCATATTTCATCGGGGTCGAGAGTATTGTAGCGTCGTGCCACGCTCAAAACAACCACCTAGGAAATCGGCGAGCATCGCCGGATGTTAAACAAAGGGCGGAGTGATGACGCACTGAGACTTTCGTGGACGTCGCGGCCAGAGCGGCTTGGGAGGAGGCAATGGAAGCGGCGGGTATGCCAAAGGGCTAAACGGCCAGGAGAACAATGCTCAGTCTTCTTGTTCTAGCGGCGTCGGCGCAGGTGAAGCGGGCTGTCTGTGGTGTAGTGCACTAGGGCGAGGACGGCAATCATTGTCATGACTTGCGAGATGCGTAGATGGTCTCAACGTAAAGCGCTTCATACAGGAAACATCGTGGTATGTTGCGGTGTGAGTACGTTCTGAAATTATCTCTCCTTGTAGTGGGTCTATTTATTAGTTTATTGTGATCAGGTAGTCGTTAATTGGACTACGTCTAGATTGTTAATAATCTATGTTTTACAACCACTCTCGTCTGTGTTCGAATACAACCGTATGACGCCACAGTATCCTGACATTTCGTTCTCCACTTCAACAATTTTTCTGTGGTCGTTTCCAGCCGCTTGACATTCTGGAAAACTTTTCAAAATGTTTCATATTTTCTTGATAGTTCCCAGTAATTCACGCTTTAATTTCAGGAAAAGTATACAATACGTTTCTGCGCTTTAATGTTGCGAAAGTCAAAACTGTCCATCCGTCTTTCCAGGCGTCTTCAATATTTTTCTTTTCGCCTTTCTCTGTACTACATCTTCAAAAAAACGCTTGATCGATTTCTTGAACATCTATTGGTTCTCTAGTAACTTGCAGCCTTTAATTATCACTGTGACGTACTTGTTCATTGCAAAAATTTACTTAAGGATTTCTTCTTCGCTCTGTTACACTGATACAACTGGTTACATTCTTAACAACTTTGTAATCAATTTCTGATTTGTCTCCCCTGTCCTAACTTCTTTGTTTTAGAGCCGTTTTACGCTAACTTCAATAAAATATCTTATTTTAATACCAAATATTAAATTGCCGATCATCGTTTCATGATTTGTTATCATTACACAAAAAAGTATCTAAAACACATCATTTGAGTTAAATAAGTACGACGCATTAGTGGCGCTACAAGATTTAACATTGCTACCCGTAAATAAAGTTCTACTGAAATCCTTTTTACATTTTTCACCAATTTCACATATCACCCATTTTATTAGCAAAAATCAGCCTAACAATTTCTTTCAGATACATTTAACTTTTTTATTTCGAAAGCATTTAATTATCTCATTACAATATAAATTGTTTTTAATATATGCGTATTTATCTTACGAAAATGTCCTCGTATTATTTTCTATAAACATCAGAATATACTTATAAACTTTTATACATTCTCAAAAAAGAAACGAAAAGAATCTCTCTTGTTTATACATTCCTCAGATAACATTTTGTAGCTTTTTCAGTCTCCATAAGGCGATTGTGTTCCTGTTGCAGTTTTGAGTCTGTCTTGTGTGTTCTGCGTAATCGTCCGCATGAAATTTCGATGAAAAAAATCTGAACTTTCTCCCTAGTTCCAGTCGCTGCGCCTCGCCTCCCCGCCGGCCGGCGCGCCGTGTGCAAATGAGCCCCGAACAACTGTTACTCGGTCGCCGCCGGGGAGGTGTCGTGCGGTCTGACGGTACCCCATCCTCCTCCGCCCCTCCTCCGACTCCCCTTCTCCACCTTTGCCTCTCGCGTTCCTCCCTTTCTCGCCCCTTCTTTCCTCCCGTTCTCTCTCCCTCGCCCCCTCATTCGCTCATCCAACCGCGTCCCGCCGTCTCCACCGCTTCCCCTGCCCGCTCGGAGGCTGAGCGTTCTCGTCTGGCGGGGGGGGGGGAGGCGAGGTCGATAGCCACGGAGCTGCCGCCGAGCGTCGAGGAAAGCCGCGAGAACTCTTAATTAGTCGCGCCGTAATAGAAATGGCGTTTTAAATGCGAGCAGAAGGCTGCGGGCGGCGGCGGCGGCAGAGGTGGCAGGACGGAGAGCGGGAGGCGCGAGCGAGGGCGAGGGCGAGGACGGGGGGGAGCGAGGGAGGGGAGCCGGGGGCGTGAAGTGGCGGAGGAAGCGAGGAGTGTGAGGGCGGACCACCAGAAGTTGTGTCAGGGTTCTGTGGGAATAAGGGAAGGGAAATGGAAAATACGAAGACTGCTGGAATGCCAAGAAAAAATGAAGTGGACGAAAAAGTGGAAGGAGATAGCTGCGTAAGAATCGTTGTGGTTGACATGGACATTTACTGGCTCCGAAGACGAGGCGATGTTGCATTACATCTCCAGGCGAACAAAAGACCATTTTGAAGTTCTTACATAACATCCGTTTTCAACTGCATCTTTAGGCTATGTTTAAGCTTCTATTAAATATTATGTTTTCAGAGATAGGTTAAATCTTCCATTGTCCAACAAATCGATGGAAACACTCTCTGATTAAAATGTTATTATCTTTTATGTATGTAAGTCGCTAAGGAAAGACTTTATAAGAAATTTTAACTTTGTAAGATTTATATTTAGACTTTATAAGACATTTATAAGAAACAATCGACACAAAACACCGTATGTGAACTACTGAGGAAACATGACTACGTACGCTTTTCAGGCTAGACTTTCAATTTTAGAGTATACTAAAAATATTTAATTCTACTTATTTTACTTCGAGCAAATTTCTGTGTAATTTCCATTGGAATCTCTAATATGATTATGCCTTAACTGATGAACAAGAGGAATCAACTTCTTCTTCTTCTTCTTCTTCTTCTTCTTCTTATTATTATTATTATTATTATTATTATTATTATTATTATTATTATTATTCGTAATGTGTTCAATATATGCACCAAACAGACATTATCGTATATAAAAACACCAAACACTTGATTGTAATAATTATTGTGTTTTTTTTTAAATTTGTTGCGTCTGGCTTGACACAACGCGTCTCCAAGCCCCGAGGGGCGATGAGCACTTTGCGCTTGGGAGTAATCCTCCATTAATTAATCGCGCTATTTATACAAGTAATCCTCCATTCACATTATCTGTCATGTAATGTCACGTCTCGTCGTACTCAGTTGTCAAAAAGACCACCAGGTAGCATCTCCGCGTACGAGGTTCCTACTATGCGCTCTTGTGTCACTACCCAGCGGCCAGATTGTTCTTTCAGACATATTGATTGTAACTACTCAACAGTGGAGGAGGTGAGAAATCACTGCATTTCATTACTCCTGAAACATAAATGTCTTCTTGGGTTACAAATACAAATCTGACAGAATACACTCAAACACAATAATTAGAAAACGTGATTGCTTATCTCACAATATATTTGCGATTTCTAATTTCACGAGCTGAAACAAGTTGGTTTACACTACTAATTCCAGATGAAGCACGGTGTTTCCACGTATGCATGCAGTACGAAATATGGAATTAAAAGATGCGATTTCCACGCCTTTATAATTTGCTGTCACTCGTGAGCAATTTTGAAATATGACGTCCTTCTCTGTAGTGATAGTCGAGATTGAACGCACTTGAACACGCTGCAACCACCTTAGCACTGAGCGTGCGCCCATATGTAAACCTTTTAATTTTTCATTACGCCTTAACCCTTCACTGGTTCGTTTATTAAGTAAATTCCATTACGTTACCTTACTCTGTTGTCAAATAATATAAAAATTAATTTTAATCAAATATTATTCTGAAATCTTCCCAAAATTAAATAATGGCAGTTGGTAATATGCTGTCGGATCAACTAATGAAATATCTTAAACAACTTCCCTACTGTAATTAAATTGAAACATTTAATATTGTTAACTTACCTAGAAATCTTCCATTATATAAAGGTACTTGAAATACCATTTTTCAAAACATCCAAACAAAGTTTTTTCAAAACCTGCTATAATTTTTTTATAATTTTTTTCAAATTATAAAAGTGCTTGCTTCTCTATGATATTCCGCATTCCTTGTTTCAATTGAATTATTAAGGGATTCGAAATATAAAGAAACTAAAAAAAGCTAGATTTTTTCCACTAAACACAGTGGATTATATATAACATATTAGAAGATAAGATATTATTAGAGTAACTAAATGTTCATTTTCCAGTTATATGAAATGTTCTCCAAATTGTGACCTACACA